AACTGACACCTCTCCAGCTACCAGACCACACATTTTGTGGTCCGCGGGACTTGAACCGGGCTTGAACCGGTGACCCTCCGGCTCCCAAGCCAAGTCCCTACAGACTGAGCTACTGCCGCCAGTGATGAGGATCAATTAAACTGTCTATAAAAAAGACTACAGAAGTGTCCACCCCCTACTTTCCAAGGGCCTCATTTAGGAAAATCTTGTTATATTTAGATAATTTCCGATGATGTGCTTCAATTCATAAAGATACTAAGAATAAATAACCTTGCTTACGCAGGTTCTAAGAAGCCCATTTGTAATTTAGGAACCTGTAATCTATGAATCTCAAATTAACTTAATTCATCAGTGGTTTCCCCTTATATAAAGCTAGCACAAATGAGGGTTTAGACAGGAATAGCCATAGTTACTTCTTTCTAATATGACATAATATTTATAGCACATTGCATCCTTTTTTTAATTAAAAACCTTGTGTCTGGCAGTTAATTCCTCAAACCTTTATTTGATAATTCCTATCACATTGTTAATAAAGATTATGCAAAGTTCACCACAGGATGCACTAGCATGAAAATCATTTAGTTTGACTTTTTCCATGTCAAATTACGGTTCAATAAATATCTACTTATACTGTGTTTTCTGTCAAGTATAAGCAGTTGTACGACTACTAATCAAAATTGATCATATGTCCATTTTATAAATGAGGTGCCTGGTTTTTCCTCATTTCTGTGTTTCAGATTCGGAACAGGGAAAACAAGATGTCTGATACAAATGTTGCCTAGGTCCCTAATCGTGGATAAGGTTCTGACATAAGTTCTGTATTAGACCTGTATAAGCAAATGGACATCATCTGTCAAAGAAGACAAAATGAGAGCCTAACCCATATATCAGTCAGACAATATTATCAACAGATATTGGCCACATATCACAAAAATATCGGTACCATATTGGCATTGGTGTATATTATCCTTTATGGACCAATATAAAAACTTTTTTTTTCTGGTATATAATGCATAAATGCCTGTAGTTTCTTCAGTATTTTATTTATTTATTTATTATTTATCTTTATTTATTCTTTATTTTCTCAGTGTCCATTCCTGGAATTGGTTGTCAATGTAGCCTATATGTTACATTATATAATAAATATTTAACTTAAATATTATTTAAGAAAGTTATGTGTTTAAGAAAGCAGCAGTCTGAGTACCTTTGCATAGTCATAATACAAAATCTTTTTTATTCCAACTCAAAAATTCACTATATCGGCTGCCAAATTGTAAATCAGTGAATTTTTCCCCTCTAAAATTGGTATCAGTATTGGTCTAAAAACAAAAAACATCAGTCGGGCTCTAGGAAAAATAACTAGTCTACAGCCAGCTTATATACTCTAGGACTGAAAACAGGAAAGCAAGATGAGATATTACACCTATATATATAATATAAATTGTGTAGCCAAAGATCTTCTAACTTGACACTACCATGTATATAATGATGTGGGCTCATACGTCTGGGACCAGGCTACAACAAATGGTCAGTTTGACGACACACATCATTTTTTCAATTTAAGGATCAGTGTGTAGGATTTAGTCGCATCTACCAGGGAAGTTGCAGAGAAACTATGGTGGCCATGATACTCCCAAAAAACGCAAATGGCCTAAACTAGAGCCAGTGTTAAGTTTGTCCCTTGTGGGTTACTGTAGAAAGAAACATGGCAGACTCCGTAGAGGAAGGGGGAACCGCTCCCTCTGTAGATAAAAACAGCTCATTTTAAGGTAGCATAAACACAACAATTCTTATTTTCAGATGATTTTACACTAATGGAAACATATGTATGAATATTACATTCAATATGTGACAATAGATTCTCCTAAATGTTACACGTCGGGTAAATGTGTGAATGGGTGAATGTAAAAGTTCCATTTATCCATTTTACATATGAGCCTCAACCATTAGGTGGACACCTCTAATCTACATCATCATTGCAACACCTCTGTCTCCCTTAGTACACCACAGTTTCCTGCCTGATGCAATTTAGTATTGATCATCTGGGAGTTAAACTCACATTACTAGTTGCACAGAACTGCCTCTGACCATCTTTGATCTCTGGGCTGAATTTCTGGAGCAGAGCTTTCTGCACCCTCCAGATGGGTGGGGGCTCTCGGCCTGTCTGCAAGGCCATCTGATAACACAAACAAACAGCTTATATAATTAATGGCAAGTTATTTATTCACCTTACGTACTAGCTGGGAGCTGCGGGGGCACTCACCTTAAGAGTCCCGATGTCCTCAGTTCGGACAACAAACTCATCTCGTTCCCGAAAGATCCCCTCGCCTCCACTCTCACTGTCCTCTTCTTCACTCTCACCAGCTATGGCGGCATCGGCCTGCTTCTTTGCCAGGTGGAGTGAGGTAAGACGCTGGGATGCTGGGGTCTCTTCTGGGGTTGGAGGTGATGGGGGCGGAGAAGACGATGAAGAGGGTGAGGAAGAGGAGGGGGAAGGCTGCCCGGCTTCAGGATCCTGGTCCTGATCGGAGGATGATGGGGGTGGTGTGGTGGATGGAGGAGGGATGGACTGGGCCAGGGGAAGGTTGGAAAGGGGTGAGGACATGATGGCCGGAGGGGAGGGGGAGGGGGGTGGGGAGGTGCCTGCAGTTGGAGCTGGTTGGAAAGAGGGCTGATGCTGCTCAGAAGGAGGATAAGTTTTATTCTCCTCTTCCTCATCCTGCTGGATCTGCATTGGGGAGGGTACGGAGAGACACAGGGGAGGGAGGGGCGAGGGTGAAGAGTAGGTGGGTGGCGAGGGAGAGATGGATGGTGATGGGGATGGACGTGCAAGAGCAAGAGCAAGCACAGGTCCTGATGGAGAATCTGAAAAACAGGGGTGGGAGGAGGAAAATAAGAATGTTACCTTCTAACTTGGGACTCTGTAAAGTACTCTATTTGAAAAGTGTCCTGAGATAACTTTTGTTACGAATTGGCATTTTTGGAAGTTTTTAAGGTCACAGGAAAATGACTTTGAGATTTTCATTTCTGCATTAAACAGGATACCATGGCCAAAAAAACAGTCTGATACTTGAGAAATCTGCTGTTTGTCAGACGCTTCACCGAGACGGATTAACAAGCTCATGATCACTTTGAGAAGGCTTTCCTCTGCTGTGCAGGTGCCCAAATCTGCCAGTAGGACTCTCTGATAAAGGCATGATGCCAAAACATGTTGGATGAACAATGCCAATTGATTTCCCCCTCCAGTCATAAATCAGTTTTTTCTTGTTCCTACAGTGTGATGTTTGAATGAGTTATGTGCAGAGTTTGATAGTAGAAGGATGTTTTCACATTCCTCTGCTGAAAGTGGAAAGTCCTTACTGAAAATCTGATTGTAAGGGGCCTACAAGCATGATTTGTGTCATCACAAATAGTCTGGAGGTCAGCCTGGTCCAGTATGCAACTTCTACAAGTGTGCTGTAGAAACTTAAAGCCACCAGTGCACATCCACTGAGAATGCACTTTACAGTGTCCAGCAGGAAAACTTTAGAAATCAAACATTTACATATTCGGCCACAAGAAGGCCACAAGATGTAGTTGAATGCTCTGAAAAAAGCTAGTTTTAAAGACTATTTGATCAAATTACTGTTTCCAAGTTCAAGAATGAACTTTAAAGACATGAGATACATTTTTTGCGTATGACAGAAGTTGACTTTCAGTTAACATTCCTTGTTTTACAGACGGTAGAAATATATTACCTTCAACCTTAGGAACCTCCGACATCTGCATTTCAGACATCTGTTCCTCCTGCTCTTCCTCCTGCTCTTCC